ATGAAAGTAGCCTGGAGCAGCTCTTATTTGTTTATCATTGATCAATGATAAATAAACTGTTTGTCTTCCTTAAAATGGAAATAGTTTGGGATCTGCATCGCTGATGAATGCTGTGCTTGCCAAGCCTCTGAGGTGGTCAGGAATGTTAGTTGCTTATAATAAACTGAACAAACCTCTGTAAGATGTTTCTTGACGGCTGGTGGCTGGTGTTTGCAAAGCAGAAAATCCAGGAGCATTTGATTTCCTTGTGTGCTCCAGGATGCCTGGAAATAAGTATCACTATGGGTGTTATCTTCTGCAGTAGTGTTAAGACAATTTCCACATAGCATATTAAAGCATAATGCTCTATGTATAATTTTTCTTAAATTTCCATTAATACTCTGTAGATGTGTTTGTACTTCGAAGACCTCCTCAATTCCACCAACATGCCTACTATCGAGGAAGCTGAGCCTGGGTCGGGCTCTCCAATCTCTGGGGACGAGGTCATCGAGGTGGTTCTTTGGGAGTATGGGATACCAGTCCCTATGATATGGGCTGTCAGGTCCCTGTATGACCGGTGTCAGAGTCTAGTCCGCATTGCCAGCAGTAAGTCGGGCTTGTTTCTGGTGAGAATTCAACTCCAGCAGGGCTGCCCTTTGTCACCAATTCTGGTCATTACATTTATGGACAGCCAAAGTGTTGAGGAGATCTGTTTTGATGGCCTTTGGTGGCAACTCTTCTTTGTGCGGATAATGTGGTCCTGTTGGCTTCATCAGCCCGGGATGAGAATCAGTGCCTCCAAATTCAAGGCCATGGTCTTGAGACGGAAAAAGTAGAGTGCCTTTTCTGGGTCGGGGGTTGCGGTGGGGGTGTCCTGCCCCAAGTGGAGGAGTTTAAGTATGTCAGGAACTTGTTTGCGAATAGGGTAAGAAGGGAGCGTTAGATAAATAGGCAGATTGGCACAGTGTCTGCAGTGAAGCGGGTGCTGTACCAGTCTGTTGTGGTGAAGAGAGAGCTGAGTCAAAAAGTGAAGCATTCAATTTACCAGTCGACCTAAATCGACTGGTAAATTGTACCAGTCCCACCCTCATCTATGGTCATAAGCTTTGGGTCATGACTGAAAGAACGAGATCGCGCATACAAGGCCGGAATGGGTTTTCTCAGCAGGGTGTCTGGGCTCTCTCTTAGAGATTGGGTGAGAAGATTGGTCATCTGGGAGGGACTCAGAGTAGAGCTACTGCTTCTTCACATCAAGAGGAGCCAGTTGAGGTGGCTTGGGCATCTGGTCAGGATGCCTCCTGGACTCCTCCCTAGTGAGGTGTTCTGAGCACTTCCCACCGGGAGGAGGCCCCGGGGAAAACCCATGTCATGCTGGAGAGGCTATGTTTCTCGGCTGGCCTGGGAACGCCTTGGAATAACCCTGGAAAAGCTGGTAAAAGTGGCTGGAGAGATGGACGTCTGGGCCTCCATTCTGAAGTTGCTAACGCCACGACCCGACCCTGGATTACCGGAAGAAGATGAATGGATGGATGTCTTTCACGTTAATGATCAAGTGATGAAGTATTGTAATCTTGAATGACATTATATTTTTTCTTTACTTTTATTGAAGGGTTTGTACTTACAAGGGTTTGTACATTGGGCTATTGCCCCTTGCTGCACAGTTCTTATAATTTTTTTCTTATTTGTATTTAGTACTGCAAAATAAACTGAAGAAACTAAACTAAAAGTTATATTTGAGGTTTGAACCCTTAAAAAAGGTAAAATCATTTTTGGAAGAACTGAAATATTTATGAATTTCAGCTCTTTACCTTACAATGAGCCAGTGAACAAGTTTACACAAAATCAATAGGCTGACACCTCTAGTCGATGGCAGCATACTGCTGAAGATTTCAATCAGTTGCTGTCAATTCACAAACTCTTATTGTGTGATAACAGTCTTTTACATGCCATGTGATTACCATAATTCAACACAATCATCTTATAATACAATCATCTTATAATACATTTCTTCAAGCATAACTCCTTTTAATACTCATTAGTTTTAAGGATCATTACAGAATCATATTATAATACTTTCAATCTATGATTCATCATTCAGCTGTTTTATGTAATCATCCATATTCAAAATAAAGTCATCAATTATCAAAATCAGAATTTACTCACTTTATAATCATTAACACATCAACCATAATACGCATCTTTTATAATCATCAATGAATTAATTTATTAATTATTTCAAAATTATTTCAGTCTCTCTGGCTTTTAGGATGTGTTTTCTGCGTGAACCTGGAAAGATCTCACCTCCTCGTACCAGTTTTCACGACAACTCATAAAGCCAGATATGTATAAAGCTCCTTGTCAGGTTTAACACCTATTAGACAAATTAAAGAAACACAGGAAAGACAAGAGAGTTAGATTCTTTCTTACTCACGAGGAGAACAGACAGAGATGTGCTTTCAGTTACAATCTCATACTGCTCTGAAACCACATTTGCCTGCTCCTCTCTTTTTTATTGTTTTTAGGATCCCTAGTCACAAAGAATGCTGTAATTCTAAAGGGAGGGGAAAACACTTCATCACATAGCTACAGCGCCAATGACAATCAATAACTAAAATACAAGGTATCTTGCACTAGATAATCTCGTTCCAGACACAGGGTTAAACAGAGCAAGTTGTACATCTTCATGGTGATGTTTTTATAGCAATCTATTGTCACTGCTTTTCTTCAATGAGGCCTTCTGAGGAAGGAGTCAGAGTAATTCAACAATACAGAAATATTCTTAATTCTAAAATTAAATTAAACAATAAAAGCATATAAGAAAAGATACATTATCAAGATATATTAGAGTAACAAATATTTGATTAATAACATCACAATTTATCCAACTCTATTCAATCTATTCAAGCATCTTTTGCCTGTTGTGAAGGTTTATCTGAATGTCCCCTAAAGATAGAATTATATCTTTCCAAAGTAACTAGAAAACAGGAATGCACAATGATTTTGACTAATCTCAGTTTAAGATGATAATGTTTTAAATTTTGAAAGAAAATTGCACAGTCAAAATTTTTAAAAGCATTATCTGTCCTCATTCAGCTGCTCTAAGCCTAAATCAACTGGTTACATGAGTCAGAGATTGGACCCTTTATTAGGCAAAATCAGAGCTGTTATTACTTTCAGACAAGTCTTTAAGTAACATACACTGGGTCAAATAAGTATCTTGTGCACCCCAGATGGTTTTTTCAAGCTTCCTCTTTTTCAAAGAATCAAGATGTCTGTAATATTTTTTACACTGCAAATGTGAGAAACAGAACCTAAAATTAAAATGCAGAAAATTGCATAGTTTGATTTTGAAATAATTAGACAATTTGTGTTGAATACGTACATTTATTTTTCACATCAGAAAAGACCCTTATTATGAGTGAGGATATGAAATTGAAGAAAACGAGGACTTTACCGTTATACTTTCATGTATCATTGGGTCCGATTAAAGCAAAATTCCAAAGAATTTTTTTGTTGACTCCCTAACATTTGAACACTCTATAGAACAAGAACTCAGCTGATGCTGCTGTTGCCTATTCCCAGGAAGGTGTTTCCCCACTGGCCAAGGTTTTTGTCCTCCACTGTTTCATCTGCAATAGTTAAGATTCCAGAGTTGTGGCAGTACAATCTGGAGCTATAATTCTTGCATACAGAGGCCCAGTTCCATCTCTGTGGAACAACATCAAGTATTTTCATGTTGTAGCATCTTTGGATTCATTTTCCACTGATAATGGGAGTACTGTGCTAACAGTCCTTGCTGGTTGGTAGCTGATGCAATACCTATTTAGTGCAAAAAATAGTAGTCACTTTTTTTTATTTATACAGTGAAATTTTCTGGACTTTTTTAGTTTTTCACACTTTGATAGGGGTTTATGGTAGAAATTTCAGAGCTCTCTTTGTTGTTAGAGGGGAAAATGTGAAAAACTAGTTGTGAACTGCATACCTTTTTTGCCCACTGTTTGTTCTTTTTTCATAGATTTACATATTTCACTGATGCACAAGAATTTGTAGTAAGATTCTTCACCAAAAGACAAAGATAATGCAGCAAGCTGTTTTTTTTGTACATGTTGATGGATGTAAGGAACATTTCACCTTTAGGGTGTCGACCAACGAAACATCCACCATTAGATTATCCACCACCAGATACTGCTGCTGTCAACATAGTGATAAATGGTTTTACATGTAAATGCTTACATAGCTACACAACTCAACAAATTCAGATTACATACACTCTGTAGAGACACAGACATTCCTCTGGCTGTCAGCTGTCAATGCCCACAGTTGCAACATTATTACAGTCATCAATCACAGCTCAAACATTGATTTACATGGAGAATATTATGATGTTGCCGTAACTGTCATGTTTTTTCAGTAAGAATAGATTATGTATCACTCTCTTACTGTACAAACAGATTCATGTGTCATCTGTCTAGAAACAGCAGCTTTAACCTGCAAAGGTTTTGGATAATGACATTGTTTTGTTTATGTTTTGGTTTTAGACACAATAGTACAATCATCCTGCACCAGCATTGTTGTGTTATGGTGGCATTAACCAACAAATAAATACACAACATACAAGGCTCTTTAAGATTTTTTTTTTAAATCAACTTGTAAAAAGTACTTGATACACATTTGTTGCAAATGTGTATCAACAAGCAGCTCACCCTGGAACTCTCTGGGATTTAAGATGAAACAAAAGTCACACACTTTGGATCTGACTTTATTATCAAACAGCCTTAAGTCAGAACTGACTGTTAAAGCTCAACAGTGGCCAGCTTTAAGCTGAAATACCCATTGACTTTACGTCCAAGGATTTAGCAACACGCCCAAGCCATGACACATTCTGTGGAAATTCCACTAAAAAACACTTCAGCAGAAACTTAGACTGCAAAACAGGAACTTACACTGCAGAACTTACATTAATTTGAAAGTAAATAGATTTATTAAATTTAATTTCAAATTAAATAGAATTTTAATTTGAAATTAAACCACCTTCACAGCTGTCTTGAAGATGCAAGTTGGGAAGTGCCTATCTTCAGTGGTCAAAGGGCGAGAGGTGGGGTCGCCCTGAACAGGTCTGAAATACAGAATAAATCACTAAATTTCAACTACACAAACTTAAAGGAAATTATATATCAATTAAGCTTCTCTGTGTATTGATATCCTACCCACATTTTCCCTTAAGAAAGTTCTGTATCTAATCTGATTCGAATAGTAAGCTTATCCCTCTCATCAAGTCTTTTTGTCAGTTATCAAACCACTGATAAAACACAACAAATCAGTACTACGAAATTACAGGCTGATCTCCAATCTTCCATTCACCAGCAAAATCATTGTAAAAGCGTTGAAACAGTTAAATATCCTGAGACTACTCTTTCCTTCATTTCTTCTGGTCCAGGTTTGTGTCCAGGTCTTTTTTTAAAAAAATAATTTTATTGATGTATGTTTGAAAAGCAATGTCTGACTTTCATTTGTTCATTTTCATAGCATTTTTATACATCCATCCATCCATCTTCTGCCGCTTATCCGAGGTCGGGGGTAGCAGCCTAAGAAGGGAGGTCCAGACTTCCCTCTCCCCAGCCACTTCCTCCAGCTCCTCCGGGGGAATCCCGAGGCATTCCCAGGTCAGCAGAGAGACGTAGTCCCTCCAGCATGTCCTGGGTGGAGGCAGTTCAGTGCCATTCCCTTCTGCTTCACTGTCTTCCTCCCCAGAGTCTGACTCTGAATCTGTATCACCCTCATCTCTCTCTGGAACTTAATTGGAAATGCATAAACAGACACAATAAAAAAATGCAAAAAGCATCATGCTAACCTTTAGAATTAGGCTTATTGGATTTTAATACTTAATAACTCTCTGTCACAGCCTCTAACCCGCTGGTGATACACTTGGGCCTGGAGTCTCCTGGCTGGATTCTCCAGGTTGGTCACTGCTGCAGGGTTCTGTCTGGTCCTGGTCACTGCTGCAGGGTTCTGTCTGGTCCTGGTCTCTGCTGCAGGGTTCTGTCTGGTCCTGGTCACTGCTGCAGGGTTCTGTCTGGTCCTGGTCACTGCTGCAGGGTTCTGTCTGGTCCTGGTCACTGCTGCAGGGTTCTGTCTGGTCCTGGTCACTGCTGCAGGGTTCTGTCTGGTCCTGGTCACTGCTGCAGGGTTCTGTCTGGTCCTGGTCACTGCTGCAGGGTTCTGTCTGGTCCTGGTCACTGCTGTTTGGTTCTGTCTGGTCCTGGTCTCTGCTGCAGGGTTCTGTCTGGTCCTGGTCACTGCTGCAGGGTTCTGTCTGGTCCTGATCTGGCCCTGGTTTTTGCCTCTTTAAGAAGAACTGGGAGATCTTCCCTTCTCTCTTCATTTGGGCTCTACACAAAATAAGACAGCCTGGTATTTAGACTCCATGACTGTTTGGCAGAGACAACATTATTTTAACTATTATTTAAACTATAGTTTTTAGTTTTCTGTAGCTAGCTAAAATACTAAATTAAAAATACATTAATTAATATAACTAGTTAGGTTATAATTCAAAGCTTTCATATGACATAGCCTACTTACATTTCAGTCATTATAAAACTTAATGGTTTTCTTACCACACACATTTCAAGCAAGAGCTGGGAGATATAAAACATTACAGGGCAGCATGTCACTAAAACATATGTTAAAAGAATCTGTCTAAAACACGATCTATCAGCACTAGCATGGCTAATGTAATAAACGAGGCACTACGCAGCGGTACACAACCATTTTTTTTCTTTTTAGAAATGTATGACAAGTGCCGCCTCTCATTAGGAAGGTAACAGCGGTTACTGCTGAGCGGTAAAATGTCGTAAATACCTGCAAAACTCCTCCACAGTGTAACTCTAAAAGCGCGGATGTGTTTTGGATCAAGCAGGACCCACATGTCAGTTTAACCCAGTGCTTCTCAAATAGTGGGGCGGGCCCCCTTCGGGGGGCGCGGTGCGATACCTGGGGGGGGCGTGTGATCCTGGGGAACAGGCTTTTTTTTTGGCCGAACTAGTATAAAGTGTAATTGCGCACAGTAGGCGGCAGTGGCGCTCTCATTGTTACTTCTGTCACGTTTGCGACAGTGCAACATTTTACGACTTACAAGACAACAGGTTTGCCTTGGTTAGCAGTGTTAAGTCAACAAAAAGCTCCGACTGCGTTCTGTCTATGGCCTCCGTTATTCAACAACCCCCAACATGAAAAAGTTTTTAACAGGGATGAAAAGAAAAGCGGAGAGAGACAAAGATAATGAGACAACAGAAAGTCAACCGAAAGCTAAGAAGAGGAAATACGACGAAGCGTATTTAGCGCTTGGCTTCACTGTGACTACAGTTGGAGAAGAGGAAAGACCGGTGTGTTTGCTGTGTCTAAAAATGCTCGCAGCGGACAGCATGAAGCCAAATAAATTAGCGCGTCACTTAAATACGTTACATCCCAATCACGCCGATAAGCCGCTAGAGTTTTTTCAGCGAAAAAAATGTTAATAAGGAAAAAATGTTATGCTGAGATGGATAGTCACGGTGGGGAATGGGGGGCGCGAATAGTTTTCTTCTTGCTAAGGGGGGCGTAACGGAAAATAATTGAGAAGCACTGGTTTAACCAATGAACAGCGTCGGGCATCGGGCTGCCTTCAGGGACAGTCGGAAACTACAGTTTTCCTGGCGAATCTTTGCCGATCTCATAAGTATTATATTTTAAAATGACCATTTCCAGTGGGGTGGCACTAGGGGTGGCCAGGGCTCTGTTGGGGGTGGCAAGTGCCACCCCGGCCACCCCTCTGGCTCCGCCACTGCTTTTACTCATGGAGCCCGGCCGGGCTCCATGGGCCGAAGAGGAAACATGGGTCCCTCTTCCAATGGGCTCACCGCCTATGGGAAGGGCCACAGGGGTCGGGTGCAGTGTGTGATGGGTGGTGGCCGAGGGAGGGGGTCCTGGCGGTCCGATCCTCGGTTACAGAAGCTGGCTCTTGGGACGTGGAATGTCACCTCTCTGGTGGGGAAGGAGCAGGAGCTGGTGTGTGAGGTTCTGGCTAGAAATAGTCGGTCTCACCTCGACGCATGGCTCCGGTTCTGGAACCAGCCTCGTTGAGAGGGGCTGGATGTACTTCTACTCTGGAGTTGCCCTCGGTGAGAGGCGTCGAGCAGGGGTGGGCATATTTTTTGCTCCCCATCTCGGCGCCTGTACATTGGGGTTTACCCCGGTGAACGAGAGGGTAGCCTCCCTCCGCCTACGGGTGGGGGGACGGGTTCTGACTGTCGTTTGTGCTTACGGGGCGAACGACAGTTCAGCCTACCCACCCTTTTTGGAGTCCTTAGAGGGGGTACTGGAGAGTGCCTCTCCTCGGGACTCCCTCGTTCTACTGGGGGACGTCAACGCAATGACAGTGAGACCTGGAGGGGCGTGGTTGGGAGGAACGCTCCCTCTGATCTGAACTCGAGTGGTGTTCTGTTGTTGGACTTTTGTGCTCGTCACGGATTGTCCATAACGAACACCATGTTCAGGCATAAGGGTGTCCATATGTGCACTTGGCACCAGGACACCCTAGGCCGCAGTTCGATGATCGATTTTGTCATCGTTTCGTCGAATCTGCGGCCGTATGTCTTGGACACTCGGGTGAAGAGAAGTGTGGAGTTGTCCACTGACCTCTACCTTGTGGTGAGTTGGCTCCGGTGGTGGGGGAGGATGCCGGTCAGATAGAGAGAGAGACAGAGAGAGAGATTAGTAGAATCAGAGGAGTAGAGTATAACTACTTCCATGGGAGAGCTGCTTACATCCTGCTCCATTCTGGCGTTTCCTTAGAAACAACCGAGCCCTAATGTTTCATCTAACCCTCTTCAACTCACATTTTACAGTGCTAATCACTTATTCCCATCTGAAAGCTAATATAAGACTACACACACACATAACCATGCATATATGTCATTCTTTCTTCACAATGACTTTGCATTGATTTCCATTCATTTTTCATTCATTTCTATAGTCTAATTTTGACGCTTACACTTAACCTAAAAAGAACCAATCGATGCCTAACACTAATCTTGATCCGTAACCTACACACATTTCTTCATGTTGGCTTTGAACCCAATAAGGAGCAGTGGGTCCTCCTAACATAGCTTTTGTTGGAAAAATGGCCCCTACAGGAAGGAAAGTGCTGCTACACTAAAACTGACAAAAGTTTTAGTGTATAATGGAGAACATAGTGATGGACATTAATTCCTTTTGCTACCTTTTATTCATGCACTGCTAGTCTGTCCTTTCAAAATGACCCATAAAGAGGCCCAGTATAATGCTTTTCAGAAAGCGCTGATTTGACCATTACTTATGACTGCTCATCTCATTGAGAGATAGTCTAAGTCATGGCTTTATGATTTACGGTAGAGAAAAAAGAATGCCCACTCAGAGTATTTGTTAATATTTAAAGTATATGACCAAAATTACATTTCCTATGAAATTCCCTGTTAAAGAACAAGGTATGGTAAGGGCAGACAATACATGATCAGAAAAAAGATAAACAATGACAAATAAATTGAGCAAATTTCAGGGCGAACTGCTGGGCTTTAGTGAACAAAAGACATTGGACAGATGTGGATTCATCCAGACTGATTCTTTGAAGAACACAATTTGACACAGGAAGGATTCCTGCTTCAAAAGATTTGAGCCACTATATGATTCATGAGCAATGACAGATGCTAATGTAAATTGCAACAGATTCTCTAATATAGATCCAGCAGTGACGTAGCAGGTCATGACAATATATCCTTATTTTCTATCCTCTTTTTATTGTCTTCTAACACTTTAACACCTTTAGCATTGTGGGCATGTCTTTTTCTATCCAGTTAATCATCTACTGTCCAACTGGATAAATATATAAAAATAACGTATTTACCAGTATATATTTTATATTTATACACTGTAAGCTTTGTTAAACTTGGAATTATATGACATTGATTGTTGTAGTCCAGACAGTCCTTTGTTATTTGAATGTCGCTCATATTGATGTTGGAAGGATGATATATTTGTAATATGTTGTGCAGCCTTTATTGATACCCTTGAGAAAACAAAACAAGCTCTCATACCTTGAAAAATGAGTATTCTACATAGCAATACTTATATGAAATGTCAAAGTTGGTTTGTTAAAATGGTTACATTTCACACATTTCAAATTTCACAGCCAAACAACTTGAAAAATAGCACACAACCTCTATGCTATATCATGGATGTTATATCAGGTGAATGTTACTCTTACCCTGCCCAGCTTGTTTAGGAGGATGAGTCCAGTGCCGATCATTAAAACCTTTAACAGTGATGGTCTGGAGCTTTAATGTGTGTGTTAAGGCAATGTCAGGAGGAAAAGATATTAGCAGTGACCTTGATATATTCTTATAAATATTGATGTATATGTGGAGATATATGTGCATTTATTTGAAATATTATTTCCTTGAAGATCAACAAATGGCAAGTATTGTTAATATTTTCAACAGGCCTATTTATTTATTTCATTTTCTTCTGGAATAAATGTGTATCACTGAAATGAGCATGTAGGCAGTTCTTTTCGTGTTTGCTTGATAAAACACTAGTTACATCTACACTAAAAGACTTATTATGGCTGAGCATTAAGCCCATTACA